TAATCTAATATTTTTTTCTTTAGTTTAAAATGTAATAGCCTAATTAGTAATATTTTTACTTAAAGGTTCTTGCTTATTAGATTTTTTTATATTAATATATATATATATATTTTTTTTTTTTGCTTTCGCTAAGGCCTTTTAGTTATGGCGGCTACTGCCTTTATTGTGAATTCAATTATAATTACATAACTTGTACAAGGTTACCTCTATACTATACTAGCAAATAGCAGCACAAGCTTCTGTACACCTAATTAGATGCCGTCTAACCTAACCTTGACTTCTTTGTCTATAAGTCTGTCAGGCCATTACATATTTCAGAGTATGTCACCTGACTATAGAGCTCCAGGGGGCCCTCTTGCTAACTAACTACCCACATTTAATCTTCGCTAACAGGGCTCGCCTTTGCAGAGTTCACCTAGACCCTAGCACTGACTTCACAGCATATCCTTAGTACTTTAGTATACTCCTGTTTCTGACCTCAGACTTCCAATCCAAATAGCCCGATAGGACTGTGACCTGTCCCTAGTACTCCAGAGTTTGTTTCTTAAGGTCTTTTTTCTCTGGTTCGAGACTTCTGGTGGCCTGGTTGATAGTACCCCTTACCTGAGATTCTTGTCCATCCAATTTCTTCCACATTGATATCTGTTTCCTAGATCTAGCCTTTACAGTAGTACTGTTAAAGATCCATGTTACCTCTCTACTTGGGTCTTCCCAAGTGGGCTTCAGTTATTCCAGTTTATAGATTTACATAGCCACAGATGCCTATAACCTGCCAGTTATCTGATATGACCATGTTACAGGTACTGATTTCAACTGATCGATAGATAGCCATTGCTGTATTACCAGTTTCAAGGACTTATCTTGTGTTTGCACCACCCAATGTCAGTTTGCATTCCTCTGTGTAACTTTAGCATTGCACAGATGCCTGTATACACTGATGTAACATAGGTGGTTTTTCAAATTTTCGCTGTTAATGGGTTTTGAACTCCTAACCTACCACTTGGGAGGATGACAACTTATTCACTTCACTAAGTCACTACACCCCAATATATATATTTTTTAAATTTTGTTTTTACAATATTATTATTAATAATTTATATTATTTTATTATATTTTTTAAAATAGATTTCTGTCTTTATAGTTTTATAATTTTATATAAATACAGTCAGACCCCTCTATAGTCACACCTTCAGGATACAAAAAACTGTGATTATATAGAGGTGTGATTAATATAAAGGTATTCTCTATATAGTCACAGTTATATTTAAAAAAAAAAAGGTGGCTATATAAAGGTTTTTTTTTAATAATATAATATGTAGATATATATCTTTTGCACATGGTATATACCATTTTCATAAGAAGGTTCTTTTTTTAACTTAACCATGATTTACTCAAATTGTACAATTTTTTATTCTAAAATTTTTTTATACAATGTGTTTAATACAGTGTATTCCATGGCCCTATATGTATGCTCATGAACATTTCTAATAATATTTTTATGTAATGCCGTGAAAATATCAAAAATTTTAATCAGAAATGTTACAGGCATAGGACTATGAGATATAACAGATATTTCACAGTGTGGCATAAACATCATATGTTATTATGGCCATGCTAACCTATGATATTCACAACAGCCTGTGAAATATATTTTATGTAAATGCTGCTAAAGAAAACAGGCAGTTTGGACTTGTAATTGTATTTTGTACTGAACATAATCTATTTAATTTATTAGAGATTATGTCTGATACAAAAAATAATCAAAAGCCTGAACTGCCTTTTTCTCTTGGCAGCACTCATCTAATGTTTCTTTGTATGTGCGAAAATCTAAGATTTTTGCATTTATTTAAGCTGAAAATAAAATTTTATCCAATTAAAAAGTAATTTTTATACTTCATATCAGTTACTTATCAGTTTGTATATGTTTTAATTTAATAACTTTCATCATAGATATAAGTTCTCAATTATCACAGTATCCTAATTGTACATTTTCGCTAATACGTTTAACATGTCACCAACTCATTTACCACTTTGATTTTATTTATAGAATATACATATCCAGCCTACGATAGTCCCATACTATAATAGATAAATATGCCCTCACATAACTTAGAGTGCCAGTGCTCTCTTAGTACAGACTGGATCATCTTTGTAGTATTCTTTAAAGAATTCTAAGTTCAGGTCACAGTTGCTTTTAAGTAAAATAAAATAATGTTTAGTAGCATTTGTTATTATTTTTTATTTTTGCATTAATGGTTAGGATGGCAACTCAACTAAGTAAATCAAAAACTATTGATTACTTTACTATGATTAGATTTTTATTAAAATTAAAGAATGTTCGATCAAATGATTTTAAGACTTTTAATTGTAAAGAAAAGTGTAAAATTCTAAAGTTTTCACACAAAAATTTTACTTATTTAATGTCTTTCAATTGAAAACACTGCCAGTACTGTCCTAAAGTACTATGTAGGATTTTTTGCAAAGTTCTAATTAAATTTGACTTGCATGCTTTTTTCGTTCTAATTGATAAAATTTAAAGCATTCTGCAAGATGAATACTCTAAACTCAGAGATTTTAAACACAGCTTTATTTTTAGACATCTTACAAACAGTTTGTAAAAGTTTCAAGATAATTCTATGTCTCAATAATGAGTTGAATATTAAGAATATATCACTTAATAATAATGTAATATTGCAGTACAGTAATTAGATTGATATGTAATATGGTGATAATTTTTATTTTATAACATAAAAAATCTGTAATATGTCAAATTCCAGTTTGCTTACATAGTTTTGATTCATTTAGTTAAGTTACCACCCCTAGTTAATGGTGCACCTGACGTGTACGTCAAGAAGGATCTGCTATTTATTTGGCCAATACGTATTAAATACACTTAACACACTTAGTATTTAGTGTATACCTGATGGATATGAATATTCTATAAATATATATTCTTACTAGATCAGATCCTTTTTCTCTATTTTACAACAAAAAAGATATACATTACACAATATTGATTTTAAACAATGAAATACTATATTGTATAAATATGCAAACATTAAAATGTTGGTAATTCAGTTTTTATTATGTATAAGCAACTGGTTTGAGTGCATCTTTAGCAGAGCGAAAAATGCCTTATTCCAAAATCAAATCTTTGTTTGTTGTTTTTATTATTTTAATGTATCAGAAGACGCCTAAAACAATGAATAGGTATTTTTTGTTCTGATTATCAACCAAAGCTCTTTTTTTTTCGCTAGTTATGCTATAATTCAGGTTAACTCAATATGTATGTATGCACATCAGTTGAACAATAAGATTTCGAGATAGCTGCTTATGGTTCTATTCAATTTTCTACTAAAGATGAGCTAATTTAGAAATAATTTCTAAAAGAATGCTATGCATGCATGTTGTTTTAGAAGTTATTTCTATATTAGATATTTAATGGCTGAAAGTAAATGAGGCTATTGTATTGTACATTCGCAAATTAATATAAACTGCATTTCTTATAAAAAATCCAAAAGGTCATTAAAAAAAGGTTCACCCTAACATATAAATAAACAAGCTATAAAATAACTACTATAGCATTTGTGCCTGAGGGCATCCACTTTGTGGAAAAAAAAAGTACTATGCTATTTTTTTAAATCTACAATGGCCAAAATTATGCCATCTGAACCAGTACCTAAGAAAACATGCTGTCGTATAAGCGACAAACAAAAAAAAGAAATCTGTGAGTTTGCTAAAAACAACCCAATCTATAAGCAGCATGAGATTGCAAATGAGTTTATGAACCGTTATCCTGATTTGAGAATTGATTGGTCGACTATATCAAAAATCCTAAAAAAAAGTAATGGATATCAACAAGTTGAAGATGATATACAAGCTGAAAATACTTTCCGCCATCATTCCATAAAACATCCAAAGTTAGAACTTGCAATGAATTTGTGGGTAGAACGTGTTTCAGCCGAGAGAATAATTTTATCAGAATTAATAATAAAAGAAAAGGGTCAACAATTCACACAAACATTCAATATATCTGAAGAATCACTAACATTTTCGAATGAGTGGATTTCTAGATTTAAAAGATGCAATAGATTAAGAAAAGTCATACTACATGGCAAAGCAGCAAGTGCACCCCTCGAAACGTTACCTACAGAGCACATCAAACTGCAAGAACTTTTCTCCTATTATAATCCAGAAGATATCTACAATGCTGATAAAATGGGTCTATTTTATAGATTGCTTCCCAATTAAACACTTTCTAAAAAAAAAATTATCTGGAAAAAAAATAGTAAATTTGAAAAAAAGTTAAAAATTATAAAAAAAAAAAGAAAAGGATTTTACTAAACACATCTATGGTGTTTTATACCTATACATACATTATCTCAAACTGGCTAATTCATCAGTATGAGGTATTCTAAGCAAAAATGCTCTACACCTTCAAAACCCTTCCCAAACTCTAGTTCTAACTATAAGTATTAATATAAGCAATGTAAAAAAAAATTGTGTTAAACATTTTATATACAAAACCTATAAAAACAGAAAATTTAATAAAAACATATAATAGATGTAAAACATCATATAATAATTGAAAGAGAAAATTTAAAAAAGAAAATTAAAAATTTTTTTTAGGATAAAACAAGAGTAACCATACTACTATGCATCAATTCAACTGGCTCTGATAAATTACACCTACTAGTAATTGGTACTTCTAAAAAGCCATGATCATTTAATGAAATAAATATATCACAGCTGTCAGTAACATATAGAAATAATAAAAAAGCATGGATGAGAACTGATATTTGGGAACAATGGATGAAATTTATTGACAATGGATTCCGCATTGAAGGTAGGCAGGTCTTACTTTTGGTTGATAATGCAGCTATACACATGGCCTCAGAAACAAGTAACACAGCCATAGAAATGAGTAATACAATCGAAGTCCAAGATGTGGCTGAAGAATCAACATCGGAATATTACTCTTCAGAAGAAATTGAGAAACTTCAAGAGCAGCCCCAGGAAAGGCCATGAGGAAGGCCACTAGGAAGGCCACTAGGAAGGCCATGAGGAAGGCTACGAGGAGAATCCCAAAGACCTAATCTCATCGGTTCTGGCTGATCGAGATGAATTTGAAGTACTTTGAGCCTTACAAATATTACTGTACATTTTCTTCCACCAAATACCACCATCCACCTTCAACTCATGGATGCTGGCATAATTAAAAGCTTCAAGTCAAAATACAAGAACCTGTATTGTTATTATTTGATCAAGCGGTTTGAAAAAAATAAAGAACAAAGGTAAGAATTCATTGATATACAGCCAACTCCAGATATAACGAACCTCTATATAGGGTGTCATGCATTAAAAGGATCCATTTTACATTTAAATCAGTTTGAGTAAATCAGATTTAAATGCTAATCAACAAATAGAAACTACAAGTTCATTTTTATTATACAGTTAGTCCCTATTACTTATGACAAACTTTTTTATTGAATAGATACCTATTCAAAAATCAAATAAATTTAATTTTCCAAAATTGTAAAAATGAGCCTTTTTAATATGTATCATCCCATATAACGAGTTTTGGATATAATGAACTCAATTTAAAATTTCTAATAGTTTGGTATAGAAATTATCATGGTCCTTAAGAAAACATAATTTTCAGAATAAACTTTCTTTTTTCAGAACCGTCAATTCATTATAGGAGGAGTTGACTGAATTTAACTACTTGCATACTAATAATTTCTATAAAATTCAGGAAACTTAGCTTAAAAAAAGCTATTGATTTTATTTCTGATGCTTGAGAAGATATAAGCGAGACTACTATAAGGAATTGTTGGAAAACTACCAAAATTATAGCTGAAATGAGTGAGACAGGAGGTGAGTTTGAGGAAGAACCTCAAGAAGAAACAACTGAAATCAATGAAGCTGCTATAGTAGTGAATGACCTTTCATCTGCAACCAACCTAGCAGTCCAAGAACTGGAAGATAATATTGAAGAATATATTCATATGATCAGCCAACCAACTGCAACTGAGGACTTGTTAACTGACAAAGATATTATTGAAATGGTGATGGATGAATTTCGTGAAGACGATGACGCTAACGACGATGATGATGAAGAACTACCCCCTCCTCCAATAACCATGATTGAGGCTATTGAAGCCTTGGAAAAGGTTATAAGATATCAGGAAAGTCTCGATGTCAGATATAGATTTGATGAGAATGAGTTAAAAACATTATGAAAAAAGCTCAGAGAATGGTGATATGAAAAGGAAAAAAACAAAAAGCAATCTTTACTCTTATCTTTTTTTAACCATACTGATGCTGCGCTCTAAGTTGAACTTTCAATTTTGTTTGTATTTTTGGCTTTCTTTTGTATATTACTTGTACTTATTTGATTTTAGCTATTTAAATAAATGATAACCTAGAAAAAAATTTTTTAATTTATGTGCTTAAAAAAAAAAGAAAAATAGTTAGAAAAAAAATCAAGTAGTTGCTTCGTCAAATTATCTGGCATATCTTTTGAACCAAACTAGTACTCTACAAAATTTTGAATTGAATCAAATATTTGAATTATTTGATCAAATATTTGAAATTATTTGATTCAAATTCAAAATTTGGTTGGAGTACTAAACCAAACAAATTATTAAGAGTGATTGTTGATTGTAGCTTACTTTCTTTATTTCCTTTATTTACCTAGCCAGATAGCAAAGTATATATTGCTGAACTCTATATTTAATAGTTGATGCCTATGTTTCAATCAACAGCTTCATTGCTAGAACTAGAGATGCTGGTGAAATTAATTTTATCAATTCATCAATAGCAGTAAAGTTATTTCACCACTCTAGATTAATTATACCAGCATCATTAAGAATCACTAACCAATTTGAATACATATTATAAATATAAAAAATACTACAGTTTACAGTTACGTGCAAGTCCAGCTTCTCTAACTGCTACCTATATACGTATATATGTTATAAAGGTGAAAAGTACCATAAGAATATCAGAGGTGAGTATGTAGTAAAGTAGTATGGTACAGAAACACAAATTAGGATGAATGTGTAAAACCATGATGGTACGTACGTATGTACGATTTGTAAAAGAAAAAATTCGTCAAACCAAAGATACTATTCTATTACTTGTTCCTACCCTAATAAGAAAAAAGAACAATGCTAGTGCTTGCCCTAGCCCAAACCATAAAAAAGAAGTTACTCATAAAAGTTGAATTTACAAATCTGTTAACTGTAAATACATATGATCAAAAATTAGTTTAAGTTTCATATGCCTGTTCGAATCCATGCCGCTATACAATACTATACTGAATACCTGTTGAATTTTACAAATCTGTTAATCATAAATATATAATCAAAAATTAGTTTAAGTTTCATATGCTTGCTTGAATCCGTATCACTATACAATACTATACTGAATACCTGTCAAAGATCATTTAAGACTAGTTTACCAAGTGTACATAAGAACATATGTAGCAAAAAATTTCAATATCTGGGCACTTTTATAATAAAGCATAAATACGCATTCATATTTTATATGGTACAAAAAAATAAAACCCATAATTACATGACTTTACAGAGGTTAATTTTATATATGTATTATATAAGCAGTTAATAAAAAATTGTGATAGTGACTATAAAGTGATTGTGCTTATATAAAGATATAAATAATATTAAAAATAGTTGATAAAAAAATATGTGTGACTGTATTGAATTTGTGACTATAGAGGAGGTGACTATAGAGGAGTATAACTGTATACACTTACTAACTATATTTACTAAATGCCAAGACTATCACTTTAGGTTTTTTTCCAACCTTTCTATGCTTAAAATTAATTAAAATAATTAATAATAGTGTTATATAGAAATGGAGGTGTAATGTCATATTGGGTGTCTTAAATAAGTAACACAAATATAGTTTAGAAATCTTTAATGTAATTACTTCTATTATCTAATAAAGTTTCTACTTTGGCATAATAAAAAAAAAAATTTAATAAATTCTGTTAAATAATATCTTTTAAGTTTTTTTGTTCATATCTTATTTAGTAAATTTTTTGAATTAAATTCTAAAATATTGCTAATATATATTTTACACAATATATATATCAAATTAATTTTTAAATATTTCATATAAATAATCAAAAAATATAATCAAAAAAAAATAATGCCAAATAAAAACTTATAATGTTTTAGTTTAAGCTTTTGAGATTCAATTTCTGATACTGCTATTTAATGCTATATAAATAAGTTTGATATAAAAAATACTAAACATTGTAAAAGCTGAGCATTTGTTATAAAAATATTATTATTTTTGTATTAGTAATTGTTTATAATATAATAATATTAATTATCTATATTATATTTACTGTATATATTTTCTTAAATTATAATTAATTATATTATTATTATATAAGTATTAAAATTCCAAATAATCATTATTTATTTAAAAATTTTTAAAAAATATTAAATATTACTAAATAATAATTATCTAATTAATTTAGCTCATAAGTAGCTACAAATTATTTATTTTAAACAGTATTCTTGAAATTCATATCATACTAAATATAGATAGATAAATTAGAAAAATGCATTTAAACTAAATATAGATTATTATAAAAATCTAAAATTTTTTTCTCATAATATAAGTAGGATTAGACTACAATTACAAAAAGTAATCTATTTAAGTATAACATTATTGATTTGAATAATTGATAAGAAATCAGTATTAGGTAATTCAAAAAAATAATGAATTCATAAAATTAAGTTATTGACTAAATGAAAATGTAATTAATAAACCAAATATAAATTACAGAAAATGATGCAACAATTTAATAATAAAAGCCATCAAACATTTGAGAAAATGATTTTTATATTTACTTATTTAAGAACAGCTTTTTAAATATAAAAAATAATAGAAAACTATTTACAAATAAAAAATATACAACATGCTCTTGTTCGAAAAGGCATCTTGGGCAATAAAAAAGAACACATTAGATAGATATATAGGACAAATTTCATCCATAAAAGATAACCAAGCAACAATCAATCACTGGACTATGGACAATACATCTACCAAGCTAAAGCCATGCAGAGGATGTCGATGGAACAACATCAGTCTTAAAAAAGAAAAATGCACAAGCAAAATCAAACTGTATGATCTTCAAAAAATACTAGTAGATAGCAAAAAATTCGTAAGAGCAAATATGCGAGATTTAGAATATACAGCATACGACTC